AGAACTAGCTGAGAGACATGCAAAGCGAAGGACCCGGATGGTGTAGTGGTGAAGTGCGCTGCTCCCCGGTAAGGACAACAGCGCGTGTTCGTTCTCCACTGCATACACCTGTGGTCCGGAGTTTTGCAAATATCTCAGCATTTCATACGAGTTATAATTCGAAACATAACCTGCCATTAAGAAGAAAAAGGCAGTAAATAAAAGAGTTAAGATTGTACCACGTACATTAAAGGTCTTCAGAATAACGCCGAGGTATTGGTTTCCACTCGTAAGGCAGTCCATTCCCTCCAGCCTACCCCTAGAATATCACTTCAATAGGCCAATATTGTCTCTCCACTATTACCAAGTAGTTTAGTCGTCTTCCATTCCTAGTTATGGGAAAAGAACAAGACAATCTATGAAGAGATTTCTTAAATGATCTTAATAATTCTCATATAAAGGAAACCATAACCACATCAAGGAAAGGAAAGATGAAACAATAATGCAGATCGCAAAATGAATATACAAAATAATAAATGAACAAAATGCCAAAGGAAACTATAGAGCTGCTAAAGCTATTCATACAGCCAACGCTACAAAGACAGCAGAACTGAGTCCGTCTTCTGAGGACGGTTTGGAGGTTATGGTGAACAGCTTTAGTAGATATTTCAAGAATTCCTGATAATAAACTCTTTCAAAATACTTCGCAATTACTTTAAAAAACTATGCAGCACAGAAACAATGTGAGGTACTAAACAGAGTAGGTCTAAAACAAACAGTGGTTGATCGATCATCCATCAACAAAACCCTTGAATTTAGTTCGGTGTAATAAATAAGAGTTATAAACCCGCAATAAAATAAACTGGTTAAACAAAGGACTGACACAGTGTGTTAACGAATAATAATCATCGGATATAAAGAGATTAATATATCACAATTAAACTTCTCCTAAATCAAATGTTTGGCCAGAATGGCAATAAATGGCACGGATTCTGTCCTTCGCCGGCTCGAAATTCATCTGTAGTGAGAGTGTCGAGTAATAAAATTCAAGTGCCCGTTGATAGTCTCCCTTAAAAAGAAGTTGTTAAAGAAACATGCTATTTAGCAAGACTGAATCACAGAATTTCAACAAGACATTTTTTTACACCACCAGTCCTCACTTCCACTAAGCTAGTCTTAGCACGTCCTGCATTAGATTCTTTTCATCGCAACCATCATTACGAAGGGTACACACGTTTGCGCATGGCTTCGCCTGCTACTTGCGGATTTTCTACTACGTTATGAATATCGTTGCACGTTAGCACAGTCAGCTCTATACAGTCCTGTGAGAGATCTAATAGAACATCCCTACATGGATTGGAGAAAGTGAGTTGCTCCCAGACAAATCTGGTACCTAATCCTTTACTCGAAGGAATGGGAAGCTTGGTGAGTTTGGTGCCGCTTCGAATCAAAAACGTGCTCCCGGGGAAGAGTATCACCACCATGCCCTCCTCGCTTCGTCAACAAGATGTTAATTTATGGTGTCGTTTGGCGTTATAAATCATTTCATCCCTAATACACAGATCTATATGAGTGTTCCATTAATAATACCGTCGATTTCTTTGCAGCGAACCAAATTACGAGGGTGGATATGCGAATACTAATCTCCAGTTCACGACCGGTAGGGATGGAAGCAAACAACATATCACAAACTTCCTACAACACACAAATTGTACGGATCCTATATCGTAAATCGTCTAGTATTTAACGTGCTCTATGTTGCCAGTCATAAAAGTTATGGAAATTTCACCTGCCAAAACAAACTTAACACAAACCGCAAGAAACCGAAGAACAAAAGACGTTAGGAAGTAAGTGTAGCTCACAGTGCTTCTTAGAAATGATGTTCTTGGCTTTTTAATTCGTGAAGGAACAAATGTACGAATGATATGACAGAATACTCAAAAAGACTTGCCATTGATGCATAGATATTGGCGATGGTGAAGTGAATAGCGACAAGATTCGGACTAGCCGAAAGCGCCGTTCCAGCCACAATCAATGCCGAGTGAAGAAGACCAGCTTGATGACAAATGTTCGCAAGTGACACCTGAGGGGACAAATAACTATAGGGAACTCAACGACATCCGAAACAATACGTTAGTAATGGAGAAAAAAAGGAAAAAAAGTCGATGTAACCCACTTGCCGCTCTTGCAGTTGCAAAAATTACTTGGATGCTTGTTGTATAGCTCGATGTCACTGGTCGAGCGGCCCTCAACACTTTATCCACTTTTTAGGAGTTTTGCTAGCTTAGCCATTGTGGTTCCCTGGAATCCCGAGGCCAGTCTAGCCACAGTTTGCCCCAAGTCGTCACCACCATAGGCATTTGCCGCCCTTGTGGATCAGATTTGTCATCGTGCGATTAATTTACTACTAATATGGTAGCGGATCCTGGTACTGCTTTACTCTTAGTAGGGCTTCCCTATGGAAACGCCAAACTCCTTCTCAGCTTTAGGAGGCACTGCGTCAGGGATGAATTTCCACGCTTTACATCGCAGCCCGACAACCAGGAACACCTCCCAACCACGATGAGGCTGTAAACCGTTAGGAGGTTGCAAAAATTATTCATACCATTTCCTAAGCAGGAGTTTCTTTCCATATCGGAGGCGCTATTACTCTAAAATTTAACGCAGAATCGTTCTATCGCTTTCACTCCGGGACAGCTCAAAACAGAAGACGGTGGTTTATCTACGACTTCACTAAATGCCGTTTTGATGGTCGTAATCTTTCTTCAATTTCAGCCCTAATTAGATGAAGACAGTATTATTTTTCTTCTTTCCACAAGCCAATACACTATCTCGTTTAACGGTGAAAGAACACACCGTTAATGTTATTTTGGTATATCATACTAATTTGCGTATTCAAGAAATATTTGTTGGGCTCTTCTAAATCCACAAAGTGAAAAAGGTCGAGCTATACAGCAAAATAGATACACAATAAACCATCATCTGTGGTCATTTTTGTGTTATACTGCTCATTGGTGTCACCATTCACATATAGGACCCAATATGAGCTGGTTCTCACCCGCATGGAGCCTAAATGTTTGAGTTCGTGTCCATGGGAACTTTGTTTGGGATTGAGCATTTGAACTTCACTTTTCATTCCTTTAAAAGTTTTAAGTTTTAAAACCAAATAACTTTAAAAATCAGGTAAAAACTTTAAAGAACCATACACACTTCTAAACAGAAAAAGGTCAACTCCTCAAGTATCAGTCATCAACAAGTTATCAGTGATTTAGGAAGAACCGCCTTCGGTTCCTGAAAGTTAAATAAAGTGTGGATGTGGATGATAATCACATGACCAGACAACTTCAGCCTCCGATTTCGTATTACTTATCATATCCACGTCGTTACGACACTAACCAAAATATTGCACAAGTACGAAGAGCTGCTTTGGAGAAAATTCATAAACCAAGATAAAACTTCAGGTGAGAAGTAAGTAAATGACAGTGAAGTAATGGACAGGTAGGTTTTTTAAGCAATATGTGAAGACGACACTTCCTCAGTGTACAATAAGACCACCAACAGAACTTCGCTATTTTCGAGATTATCATCATAAACTTAAACAGTTCCACTAATCAATACCAACATCGCTAAAACCTTTCGAATTCTCTCTTAAAAACGTCACATCTGGACTAAAACGACACAAATAAGTAGCGTAGACCGACGGATTATAACTGGATCGTTTATGATTTTCCAACAATATACAGTCGGCACTCCGCTTACTATATCATTCACAAGCAGTTGCATGACCGTTCGAAAGATCACTGACGTCATAGCAATTGATTCAAAGATAAAGTCGCAGGCACCAAATATGGGAAGCTGTATTTTGGATATCTCGGATTTCATGCAAAATCATGCTCGACTACCATTCAACACGTCAGTAAGAAGAGAAGATGATTCCTATGTCGAGGCTGGAAGAAGAAAAGACAAGAATCTGACAACACCCCTGCGCGAGGAACCAAAAAGCAAAAATGCTGAGACTTTAGCGACATTCAAAAACGGGACAACTAAGCATTTAAATTATTTAACCAAGCACGGTGTCAGTTTAGTAGCTCAATTTTCATCCAACGAAATTTAGCGTTCGCTTTACTATATACACTTAAGTCATAAAGTAACAAGTCTACCCCTTCGTTTACACGATTATCTTTAAACTTCAGTAAGAATGAAACACTTGTCAGAACGACACCAGAGAAATGAAACTTAATGTTTATGAAAACCTGAAAAATGGGAAGCATGCCGATCTTTTTACATTATCGAGCATATACAGCTCATGAGCACAGGGCTGCTATGAATACAGACGGTTCCCAGCGTCCATTCAGCTGACTTAAAGATCAGCGATGATAGTGGAAAAATCGCTTTCACTAATGGTCTTGTAGCCAATAATCTGTGATAGAACAAATGTTCTTCTTTGTGCATTTTTGCAGGAAGCGGTGAGAATAATTAGACGCATTTTCAGTGGCTACACCTAATTCCTCCATATTTCTATGTTGGGTAAATGAAAAGTGCATGCGACGTACACAATATTGACCTAGCCTTCGACTGTTACAATTGTACAGCAAAGACGGCGCATGCTGTCTAATGGATTCAATAGGAGGAGATCTAACAACGTCAGCTGTTTTCATAAAAATGAATAAAGTTAACCAGGACCACTAACTGTTACTTCATACTTCAATAGACAAAGGACAGTTGAGTTTGGTGAAAAAGCAAAATATGTCCTCAATGTGGCTCGGCTATCGTGAGCCTTTCTCTTCAAATTGGAATGCTCGAAATAATCAGGAAAAAATTACAATGTGATTGCTTGCCGTTATCACTTGCCCAGATTTGCCCTTTTAGAGCAAACCTACTGAAACCTATTACTGTTGCTTTATTAGGGAAGCTATATTTAGAAAGACATATGACACTTTGACTACAGGTAAAGATGTTACATAGAAAATTCAAGTTCACCAAAAATAAACTCAAGACATGACACAAGATACGCGTTCAAGAAAACCTACCAGAGCAACGTCCCTCATATGCTGTGGGGCTGTTTGGAGGCCACATCGAAGACACTCAACTGCACGATGGGCATCACCAACAACACGCCAGTACAATGATGACAACACACACAACAACCAATTTCCTGCCTGACCATCTGAAATACCTCTGATATGTAGCAATTCCCAAGAACGACTTTCTGTTAACCTCAGCACTTATTGATAATTTACTAATTTCTTCAATTGTGTTTGGTCATTAAAGAAAAACAGCGGATTACCTCAAATATGTATACCTCACTTTACTTAGGAACAAAAGATTTCCTAAATAAAGTTATAAAGCAGAGTTCACGACGGAAATGTACATAATGACTGGTAATACTCATCACGATGCTTCAATAGATACTAAAAAATTTAACGAAGAAAATGGGAAACCGCTGAACAAACATTTTCCCAAACCGTTTCCTAACATTGCTGTGTGCAATCGTGCAGCAACATGTTCGATAGAATCTCGCTCATTTCCCAATGATTTCAAGGCCTAAAGTAATACAAAAATTTGGAAAAAGTGAGATGTCTTAGTCAAAAGTTAGTTAATAAAGGGATAGAAACCAATAATTTTACATCCACTGGTATTAAAAACGTGCTTCAGGTGAATGTACATCAATAGCGAAGCACAGATTGACCGGTCACATAATGAAAGGAACGGACGAGAGATGGACGAAAAGAAGTGTGGAGTGGAACAAGATGCAAGCGTGCTCTTGGAAGATCATCCAAACTATGGGTGGACGTGTTAGTGGCGTACTTCAACCATCTACATGCGCAGAAAGCTCGCGAACGTTATCATGTTCGAAGCTAACAACCAACATGGACGTCGTTTGCTCGAGAGAGGAATAAATAGGAATTATTCAAAGAAATGGGTCACCCAAGTATGTCAGCAAAAAAGTAATGATACTAAAGTTGTGTTATACTTCTGCCGAACTCACATCTGTTAGGGCTTTCTCCGGTTTGTAGAACAAGAACTGGTCACTTAATGCAAATACCGGTAAATGGTCAAGACCGAGAATTGGAGAAACCTCTTGCTGATCTAGAATTTAAGACCAAAAAATTGCTCTAACAATAATTATTCTCGAAACAAACGCCGTAATTTCGAAAAAAGGATTTCACTTAAGCACGTACCAATTAATGGGCAAACTGGCTGCAGACCACCTACTCCAGGAACAGGTTCACGTAGGTCCACGTATTTTGCAATATCTTCACCTTTTGCCGTTACAGAAACCCAAGTTGATACTTGGTTTTCAAGTAATACCGAAAGCTAGAAAATTACGTAATTATGGTTAAGTTTGGTGCAAAACACGAATACACAATGAAAAGCGAAGGTTACATTAATTTATTTCATTGCGCTCGTACAGAATTTGACATAAAAAACAGGGTGTGCATGGTGCATAGAATTAACCAAGACCTTATAAACTTCCGAATTTATATTCTCAGCAACACATTAATGACTGCGTGAGAACACTGAAATTTTTAATCCCGATGTTCTACGAATATGAACAACGACGAACAAGCCTTTGTACTTTCATGAGCTGGCACGAGGTTGTCAAATAAACGCCTACAATGGTGCCTCCGAAACTGCCTACAGTTTTGATTAAAAACTGGCTATAATACATTGAGGTGATGTGGCCACCTGTACCACCTGTAGTGCTGTTGATTGTAGAGTAACTCGAGAGGACGCCAGTAAATCTTCCACTTTTTCCTATCGCGTGCACGAGTAGCCCAGTGGATTCTCCTCGGGGACACGTCGAGCATCATATCTTTCCTCTAGGCTCTTCTTGAAAAACTTTGACCAACGGGTCGGTGGTCTTCCTGCAGTACGTTTGACATCCCGAGGAATCCAGTCACTAACGGCTCTCGTACACTACTTCCTCGATGATCTTGAAAGGTCCCCAAGCCGAGCCGCTCGCTTCCTTCCGCTCAGCTCTGGAGCTAAGTCGTTCATCATATTGATTTCCCGACCTAGATAGACATAACTGGAGCATTTGCAGATATTCGTTCTGTTGAGCGTGAATGGGACATACGGAACCAATTCGTTAATCATGAACATCATTTTTGTGAGATTTCGTTGAAGACCGATTTTCCCACAGGCTTTTTCAAAGTCGGCAAGCATACATTCCGCTTGGATAATGTTTGATGTTCTAAGGACTATGTCATCAGCAAAGCAAAGATGATGCAACTCTCAACCATCGATTTTCACTCTCATATTATCCTATTCAATATTCTTACGACGTTCTGGAGAATGGCGGTAAATAATTTTGGCGAGATGGTATCGCCTTGCTTAACACCTCTTTTGACGTCAATGTTAACATCGTTGTAGAATGGTGATATCTTGCTTGTGAAATTATTGTACAGCTCACGAAGAATCTTTATGTACTGGGCAGCGACTCTTTACTATCAAAGGCTTCAAAGACTGCTTCTATCTCAGCTGAATCAAAGGCCTTCTGTAAATCGATGAAGGTAAGACAGATCGGTTCTTTGTACTCTTGCGATACTTCGATGTGCCTTCGTCCAGTGTTCTGTCAATGCTGTTTAGGACGACTCGAGGGGAAAGTTTGTAGACGGCAGAAAGCAAGCAGTTTGGGTGATAGTTGCCGATATCGTGAGGGTCACCCTTCTTGAACAATAACACCGTATTGCTGGCCTTCCACTAAGTAGGGACCTTGAATTCAGACAAGTAACTTGTGAAGAACCCATCCAGTGTGTTTACGAGGACTGGCGGAAGGTTCGTCAGGTGTTTTGGTCTTATCCTGTCCGGACTTGGTGCTGATCGATTTTTCACCGACGAAATGGCATGTCGGATTTCGGAAGGGAGAACCGGTGGTACAACATATTCATCCTCCTTTATTTCATATGACGGAAGGTGGACGTGGCTATCGAAAATATCTGAGTAGTATTCATGAATGGTTTTCTCTATTGCATTTCTGGACGCTGTAACTGTTCCGTCTGGGCGTCGACCTGCAATCATCTTGGTCCTGTAATTGGCGAAGCTTCGGTGAGCTTTGCAAATGCTTTTCTCAGCCTCTGCAGCTTCGACCATTACTGCTGTTCTTCTCTCTTTAAGATCCTCTTTTATCGCCTGTCTGCATTGTTTTGCAAGTTCAGACGTTAGTTTGCGGTTGCATGCAGCCCGTGCGATTCCTCGCTGGCGTATCAGCTCGAGTGTTTCTGGAGACAGATGTGTCTTAGTGACTTTCGAATTCTCAGCTTTCGTAGCGATGACGTGAAGATGTTGAACGAATCGATCGTAGTCTTCGTCGATGTTATCGACAACGGCATCTTGCCAACAGTTGACTAATGAACTGAATAAATCCCAGTTTACGTTGGCTCTGGGACTTCGGTTTTTAAGTTACCGGCTTTTTCTCCCTTCTGCGAGAAATAGAATCTGGCACGAAGGAGGCGGTGGCCTGATCCTTTGTAGAATTTTGGGACAACAGCGACATAGGTGAGGCCAAACCTTCTACTTACTATGATGTGGTCTTCGCTATGGTACTCTCCATTGGGAGACTACCACGTCCAGCATTGAAGGTGGAGCTTCTGGAACTGCGAGTCGCCATTGATGGCCCTGGTCGTCATGATAAACTCGGATAACCGCTCATTCTGCTCATTCCGTGGGTTCCAACATGACGTTCTTTATACATCCTTCTGGGTCCAATTTTAGCGTTAAAATCTCCAAAGAAGGGCTTGAAGAATGTAGGTCTTCTTCGTAGAAGTTCTACAAGTTCATATAAAACGCTTCGACTTCTTCTTCGCCACAGCTTGTTCTCGACGGACAAACGATGAAGATTGTCGAAGTCGGTATTGATCCACGCCTCTTCAGTCGTTAAAGCACGGTTCAGATCGTTATTTGTTTGAATGAATCGATGGTCATAGTCAAACTCCTGTTGACGAGAACGCCGACGCCGCCGACTCCTGTACTGTCGCAAGTTGCGAGGAACAGTTCTCCGGTGTCATAAACGGCGTTGAAGGGCTGTCGTCTTGTCGTCTTGGTTAGCCCGATGACGCTGTACCTCATCCTTCTTGCTTGCATGGGCATGCAAGTGTATGTGCATTGTAGGGTAGAGATCGTCACCATAGTTCCTCGTGATTCAGGCAGCTTCCATTGGCCCTGAGATTTTAGCAGCCTCTCCGTACTTGCCCTACCTAACGCTGCGAAATTGGGGCTCTTTCGGGGTCAGGGCAATGAGGCCTGTTATTTTTACTGTGTTTAGCATTTTTGATACCCATGTATAGCCTGCTGGGCTCTGAACGTGAGGAGTGGTTATACTCCCGGATAGCTTGCTTGGCTCTCACGGAGTGGATATGGAGCTTATTTGTTGGAGGCGACTCCTAACCGCCTCCCATATACTTCCCTGTCACTTGATTGAGGGCTTTTCGACGAATTGACTCGTAGAATACAATCCGCGTAAGCGAGAACGCACCCACACACGCATGCATGAATACGCCTAGCAAATACAGAAAGTAAGTGCCAAATCGGCGCAGCAGAAACAGGGTATCCATCACATGGATCCATCACATGGAACCATCTGCGTCTCAGGGAAGCAAAGGTCGTTTTTGGTCTGCGATGAACCCCCTATCCACCACCTGGGAACGCGCCACGCAACCTCGCGACTAACCGGCTCGAGATCCTTCATATGAGGGAGATCCGTGGCAGGTGATGTGGTAAATATTAAAATATCTTGACAAGTAGCATGCAAGTCAAAAAGCGAAATTCGCTAAAACACCAGCTGGTGTAAAACAATACTACTATCAATTTGAAAACCTTATCAACAGCAATCAACTGTGCACGGTTTAATGAATGGAGCAAGAATGAGAAAAACACCACGCTAATAAAAGCAGCAACTAATTAACAAAACCAGCTATACAGTAACAGTTACACTGTATATAGAATCCAAAATGCATCTAATATTACGATCTGGACTATATATTGAATTTTCCGACGTAGGCAGCTATCCTATTCGTTTAGAAAAACGCTGCACCATGAACAAGGATTAAGTCATTTTCAAAGTATTTCAGCAAACCTTTTTAACTCCGCTGCACATTTGTTGTGACTGCCTAGGTGGCAGGAATCGTGATAGTCCTTTGCTGATCTGTAACATCGATGGTGCTGGAAGAAGTTCTGGAAGCTTTGCATCGAAGCGTAACATCTCACGGCGGTCCTTTATCCAAAGAAATGAGAGTGGTTTCTAAAATTTAAACTATAACACTTTCGAATTACAACTCGTATGAAATGCTGAGATATTTGCAAAACTCCGGACCACAGGTGTATGCAGTGGAGAATGAACACGCGCTGTTGTCCTTACCGGGGAGCAGCGCACTTCACCACTACACCATCCGGGTCCTTCGCTTTGCATGTCTCTCAGCTAGTTCTGCTGATGGCAAAAAGATCGATAGAACTAGCTGAGCGACATGCAAAGCGAAGGACCCGGATGGTGTAGTGGTGAAGTGCGCTGCTCCCCGGTAAGGACAACAGCGCGTGTTCATTCTCCACCGCATACACCTGTGGTCCGGAGTTTTGCAAATATCTCAGCATTTCATACGAGTTATAATTCGAAACATAACCTCACATTAAGAAGAAAAAGGTAGTAAATAAAAGAGTTAATATTATAACAATTTCACAACTTATAAACTAAAAAAAGCAAACAAGAAACAGGTTTAATCCCATGTAAGGAAACACCAAGACTCAGAATTAGGGAAATTTTTTCTACTCCATAGGGTAAAAAAAAGATAAAGCTCTTGGCATTGATCAATCCTTGAGGGATGCGCCATGAAGTCGACTTCATTAAGCATCGTTTGGAGGTGATTGAATGCATATCTGGTCTTTACAACGACTCGTGGAAGCCTAGTGATGTGTCAAGCCAGTGCTGCTATCCTCCCAGACAAGTTTGGTACCAATTTGCCGACCCCGCAGGGATGGAAGACTTCGTGGGCCATAGGCGCGGGTATCGGTTCCACGTGTGTGTTGCAGGGCGCCTCCAATCACTGCCCCACACCCGCCCTACTGTGAAAAACCCCGACAATTATTTCCAACTTAATCCTTAGTGTCGTAAATTTTATTTGCTGCCTATCCTTTTTTATGGCAGGAAGTATTGAAATACAACCACAAAGATACTGAGATATGAGCAAAACTTTGAAGCACACTCTGGTTTCGAATTCTTACCAGTAAGGGTAATTGCGGATGACGAAACCCATCTGAAGTTGCAGGTACAAAGCTCAACTTAGGTTCCAAGTATTGCTCATACCACAGCAACTTCACGGTTTTAATTTCCAATGTTTATAACGAGAGGTGTTGAGCGAAAAATAGCAAGGAAGTCAAAGAAATCACTATTTCACTTTGCAATGTTTTGAACAAATAGTACTTTAAAGACAGATAAAATTCTAATAAACACGGATGGCAAACTTTTTACACGTCTTTAAGATTTCGCAAGGACACCTAAAATGCTGGATAAATGATTTATTTGACAAATGACACCTTATTTCCGACAAAACCAATTCAACTATGTAATAGAATACCCGAAATACAGTGTCAACTTCATAACTAGCCTGTGGGACCGAAGCCAGTTCGCTCTCACCGTCTTCTTCCCACCAATCAATGTCACCTTCATTACTCGAGAGTAAGTAACGCATTTCATTTTTGGCGCGTGCCCACCATTCTACTGGTCGTGGTGCGAAGAAGGCCTGTAATGTGATTACACGATATGTAGTCGAAATTTTCGGATTTCCAGGTTTACCAAACTGTTTGTTATCTTCTCTGACTTCACTTCTATACGTATACCTAGTTCAAAACTAACAGTAGAAGCAAAAAGAACATTTCCAAATGACTAAATCATAATCACTACCATTTAGAACTCTAGCGTCGAACCACCTTTATAAGCGTCACAATGAAGCTGCGGGAATGGCCAATATGATATAAATAGCTTTCATTTTCTTACCAGTGGTTTATGTTAAACATTGGACTTTTACCTACAGTTCCTGTAATCAGTCGGGAGCCTCGAAACGCAGATACTGTGGTAAGCGCCATCCAAGCGAGGGTGTCCTCTTAATGAACACCTACTAACTCCTCATTCTTCGACGAGAAACTATTGCAGCTAAATAGAGCTACGCCATCTAGCGATCCGATGAAGTATTGTTGCCTTGTCGAGGAGCTTCCCGGAAACGAAAGTCTCTAGCATCGCACGCAGTGTGTAGCTCCATTTCCGACGAACGACTCAAAGTTTTCTGGCTTTCCATCGCTATGACAACTTCAAAAAAAGGTAAGGCTCTTGGCGTTGATCAATCCGTGAGGGATGCGATATGCATTCAACTTCATTAAGCATCATCAGAGCTGACTGAATGTATATCTGGCCTTTACAAGGACTCGTAGTGACCTACTGATGAATGTATCGAGCCAGTGTTGCAATCCTCCACGACAAGTCCGGTAACAATTTGCCGACCCCGGAAGGATGGAAAGCGTGGTGAGTCTGAGACGCGAGGTTCACCCCGTGTGTATTGCAGGGCACCTCCGACCACTGTGTCACACGCGCCCTCGTGGAATGAAAAAACCACTAGGCAAAAATCCTAGCGTTCCTTGCACAACCTAACACGTTCTCAACATTAACTGAAATATTTACCGCAGATCCTCCGTAGTCTAATGGCAACTCCTCAGTATCCACAGTTTGTACGCTGCTTTCGTCTTCGATAAATGGTGGGTTATCGCGTCTCGAAACTAAAAATACGATGAAAATCAAATGAAAAGATAAGCAAACAAATAATATAACATATATGTTTACACATACATATACATATTTGTTTATCCCTTTATTTTCCAAAGATCTCCCTCACAGAGAGATATCACGCTGGTTAGTCGCGAAACAACGTGGCGCGTCACCAAGTGGCAGATAGGTAGTTTCCATGAGACGTAGATGAATCTAAGGGATGGACTCGCAATTTCTGCTGCGCCCACCTGGAACCTACCTTCCGTATTTACGAGGACGTATTCATGAATGCATGCGTGGGTGCTCTCGTTTATACAAATTGTATTCTCCGAGCCAATTAGGCTAAAAGCCTGCAATCAGGTGACATGAAAGTATAAGGGAAGCGGTTAGGAGTCGCTTGCAACAAATAAACTTTCGCCTTCTCTAGGAGAGACTGACAAGTTGCCCGTGAGTATACCCAGCCCCCCCCCCCCTCACAGCTCAACAAGCTGTACGGGGGAAACAAAATACTAAGTAAAGTAAAACAAACCAGACTCATTCTCCTGACCGCGAAAGAACCCCCGATACGGCAGCGTTGGATAGAATAAGTAGGAATATTGTTGTTAAATCTCTACTAAAATCTGAGCGCCATTCTAAAAGACCTAACTCCCAAAGGACTAAGACGACAATCTTCACCTACAATGCATACACACTTGCATCTCGGCCCTCGATAGAAAACTTGATCTTGCAGGCAAAAACGATAAGGAACGACATCATCGGACTGGCTGAGACAAGAAGATGCCACCCATTCAACACCGCCCATGACATCGGAGAAGAACTGTTTCTCCGAACATACGACAATAAAACGATTCAATCGGATAACAAGCCGAATCGGATGTCTACGAATGAAAAGATGTGGATCAGTACCGACTATGGCTTTCTTCGTCGCTTAGGCATCAACATCAAGCTATGTAGAAGACGAAGTCAACTGGTTCTATATGAACTTCCAGAAGTTCTAGGGAAAAGGCCATGCATTCTTAAAGGTCATTATTGGAGATTGGATACTGCACTCAGAAGAACGTATGAAGGATGTAATATTGGGATCCACGGATTATAATGGAACGAACAGGGTGAGCGGCATTCTGAGTTTATAATGACGACCAAGTCAATCCATGGTAACTCGCAATTCCGGAAGCCCCACCCTCAACGCTGGACGTGGGAGTCTCCTAAGGAGAGTACCATAACGAAATAGACCACATCATAGTAAACCAAAGGTTTTGCCTAACCGATGTTGCTGTTGTCCCAAAATTCAACGCAGGACCAAACCATCTCACCTTCTTCGCAAAAAGGCGTTAAATTCAAAAAACCAACACTACCTGATACTTGGTTTACTTAGTTCATTAATCCGCTATTGGGAAGATACCGTTGTCGATAACATCGACGAAGACTACGATCGGCTCATTCAACATCTTCACTAAGCGTTACGAAAGCTGATAGTTCGAAAGTCACAAAAAAACGTCTGTCCCCAGAAACACTTCAGCTGATAAACAAACGAGGGATCGCGCAAGTTACATGGGACCGCAATTTGCAAAACAATGCATACGGACGACAAAATATCTTAGAGAGAAAATAAGCAGTTATGTTCAAAGCTGCAGAGGCTGGGAAAAGCATTCAAAAAGCCCACTGAAGCTTCGCCAACTACAAAACAAAGACGATTGCACTCCGACGCCCAAATGGAGCAGTTACAGCGTCCAGAAAGGCAATGGAGAAAATGATTCACGAATACTACTCAGATCTCTTCGATAACCACCTTCCGCCATATGAAATAAATGAAGATGGATATCTTGTACCAACGGTTCACCCTTCCAAAATCCGACATGCCATTTCGTCGGTGAAAAACACCTGAAGAACCTTCCGCCAGTCCTCGTAAACACACTGGCTCGTCTCTTCACACGTTACCTGTCTGAATACAAGGTCCCTACTTAGTGGAAGACCAGCAGGACCGTGTTATTGTTCAAGAAGGGTGACCCTCACGATATCGGCAACTATCGCCCAAACTGCTTGCTGTCTGCCGTCTACAAACTTTTCACTCGAGTCGTCCTAAACAGCATTGACAGAACACTGGACGAAGGACAAGCAGTGTTTCGAAAAGAATTCTGTATAATGAACCACATCCACGCGATAACAAAACTGATTGAAATGTCGCAAGAGTAGAAAAGACCGCTCTGTTTCACTCACTTTCATCAATTTAATGTAAGCTTTTGACTCAGCTGTGATAGAGCTGTTATGGAAGCCCTGGAAAAGCAAGGTGTCCCGTGCTCCAGTTAATTCTATCTAGCTCGGGAAGCCAATATGATCAACGACTTAGCTCCAGACTTGCAGAAGGAAACGAGTAGCTTGGAGAACTTTCAAGAGCATCGAGGATGTACAGAGAACAAAGAATACCTGAGTCTATGCCCACCTTTTAGACTCCATGATTCTTCCTCCCTTAACGAAAGCATCAGGAATCTGGTCGCTGCATAAGCAGAATGAAAGATCACTCAGCGTTATCGAACGTGCAGTCGAAAGGACGATACTAGGAGTATTCCGTTTCTCACAAATAAGGGATGGGATCCGAAGCTCCGATCTGTGTCAACGATCAAAAATCAAAGGTGCCGTTCTATACGCCAAACGGTCGAAGATAAGGTGGGTCGGACACGTAATGCGTATGAATGACAACCGATGAACAAGAGCCCTTAGTGACTGGATTCCTCGGGATGTCAAATGTACTGCAGGAAGACCACCGTCCCGATGGTCAGAGTTCTTCACGAAGAGCCTAGAAGAAAGATACGAAGCTCAACGAATCCCTAAAGCGAGCAGAACCCAGTGGGCTACTCTTGCACGCGACAGGAAAAAATGGAAGATTTACTAGCGCCCGCTCGAGTCACTCGACGATCAGCGGGACTACAGGTGATCTCTCTATTTTACAAAAGAAAATGCACAACCAACATGTAAGCATAAGTAAATATACATGTATGTATAAATATATAAATATATACATATATATGTGCAAATATAAACAATAATCAACCGTCTACGTAAAAATTAGCTCAGGTGCGTATAGTCATTGTGAAGCTGTAATACACCCATTTACTTTGCATTTGGCATAAAATTAAAGTCTTAAGGGGAAACGGTTGTCAATCAACACACAGAATGTTCTATATTTTATTACACACTATAACAAGAAAAAGGACTTTAGATCTTTTGAATACTTCCATTTTCTAATTATTAATCCACTGCAATCAATTTTAGTCATTTAGTTATATGTGGCTTAACAAATTAAGAAAAGAACAAGAAATGGGGAATAAATTACGAAACTACAAACCGGTATTGAAGATAGGTAAAAATGGTGAGACGATATTCACATATGGCGCAGTAGGATAACTCCTTCCCTAAAAAAATATGTAAATATACATTTATATAGGGAATAAAAGAAGGGCTGAGAGAGAAATTCAATAGTGTGGAAAAGCGACGTACAGTATACTGCCCATTACACCGATTGTAGATCAATTGACCCGAACCGCTCTCCGAATCAACTATGTAGCACCGTTCCTCCCTCACATGCCTATTCTTAAACAGCTAACATAACAGACAGAAGTTGGGGTAAAGGAGGAATATTGTAACATACTATACATCAGTGGGATTTTTGCACCTAAAAACAATATACCAATGTTTGAACCACTACACACTGACTTTTCTACCAAAAATTTTTGGGATTCGGAAATGGCACAATTAAAATTTTCGGATAAAATACTACACTACAGCACCGTTGTTCTTCTTGCGTTATTCTTTCTTTTTTTTTTTTTTATTAAAATCCCAACTTTCAAGAAATATATAATCGTCCACGATTGGTAAAGTAAATTGAACACACTGTCCACCATACCACTTAACCCCAAAAATAGCACTTAGAAGCGGTTTCTAGCTGATCTTCACCTATTTTCTGCCACGACTTCGCATTGGAGAATGTTCCAAAAAGACAGGAAAACAAAGAAGAACTCAGAAGATCCGTGGCAGTGTGAAGGAGACAGAAAGGATTAATAAGACGCAGACGAACTCAATTACACAACATGAAGCACAGGAAGAAGCGTGGTATTATTTTCCGTGGTACCCGCCGAATTAACCGAATTGTGTTCAATTTACAATGCATCTGGTGAAAATACAAGCATTTCATACAGCAATCACCCAAAATCAGGCGTCGAAACGTAGTAATAGGTTAGCTATTTTTAGCTAACTGATCAACCTGGAGAGCTACATCAAATTGCTCTCGGATCATCATCGGACCTAGCAAAACCAAAGAGCATCCTACGAAAACTGTGGTATTCCTCTACTTTTTTTTGTACTAATGCAGCACAGCTCTTGCGGCAACTACTTGAATCACACTATGAATAACGAGATTACACGTGACACAAGCAACTAAACTACTTCAAAACCAACATCTTCAAAAATTACATGGAATCGCGTCGTCGGTAAACCATTTCCAACTGCACCGTTATGTTACTGATTCGATAAGATATTCGACTTGATATACCCTCACCATCTCTTTATTTCTACGGTTTACAATAACTAGGCACATAAGATAACTTTCTATGTCGAGACATTGGCTCAGCTGCGCTTCGAAATAGAAACGCTGAACCCTTGAACATGAGTCACAATTCAAAGGTTTTTCGCGTATCTGCTGTATAAAGCAGATGAACAGCAGCAAACACTTATCAACCACAATGAAGAAGTAAATCAATACATATTAAACAACAGAATTCAAGAAAAAATGAGGTAATATTTATTACACACATATATATGCATAAATATTCACGTACATGCACATATATGTACGTGGATATAGGCACATATATACTAATAAACAAATTTTATATATATATACGGCCCGGTGTGGTGGTGTGGTGTAAACTGTGGTGTAAACATATATATATATAATGGAGAAAGCTCTCTGTGATGATCAATACCTTAGGGATTTGCCATGCATTCGACTTCATTAAGCATCATTAGAGGTGATTGAATGGATACCTGGCCTCTACAATAACTTGCGGTGGCCTGCCAGTGTATCGAGCCAGTGTTGCTATCTACCAATTTATCAACACAGTAGGAAAGAAGGGCTTGGTGAGCCTCGGGCGAGGGGATCGATCCCTGTGTGTCGCACGGCGCCACCGACCATTGCTCCACATGTACCCGTACATGTATATAAACATATTTTTATTCTTATTATTTTATTTCATATGATCCATCTCAAAAGGTGCGTGTGGAGCAGTGATCGGAGGCGGCCAGTGACACACACGTGGAATCGATTCCGCGCCCATGGCCCACCAAGCCTTCCATCTCTCAGGTATCAGCAAATTGGTACGAGACTTGTCTAGGAGGATAGCAGCACTGACTCGATGCATCGGTAGGCCACCGGGAGTCATTGTAAAGGCTAGATATGCATCCAGTCACCTCCAAACGATACTTAGTGAAATCGAATGCATACCGCATCCCTCAGGGATAGATCAACGTCGAAAGCTCTATCATTTAGAGCTTTATGACCGGTTTTCACGTCTACTGTGTGGATACCACCTTTTTTCACATTCGATTCGTTTCCTCGCATCCATTATCCACGGAGATCTTCCAACTTTTACGTATGGCTTTGGCAGCTGCTAAAGGATTTTTTCATTTCACCCTTAATGTTGTAAAATTCTGGTCGAGTCGATTGCCCCTGAAGCCCTGAGATAGACGCTCTGGAGTGTTCCCAACTGGACTGCAGAGAATGATCCTTTTTGCCGGAGAAATCCGGTGCCGATTTCTCTATTCCGGAGAGATGACATACTTGGTGAGCCCGGGGTGGAATCGAACTAGCACCGTGCTCGTGATCACCGACAACAATACCACAATGCTGTCCGCCCCTGTACACATATATGTAAATATATATATATATACATGTACACATAGGCACATATACATATTATATATAGCTACACATATGTATATGCATTTATATGGGCATAACTCAAAAGACAGACTTTCTTTGGCATAGGCCTTCGTTGTCGTTTTCGTTGTTGTTGTCGTTGCTGTTGGTGTCGTTGGCCGATGGCTGACGTTTCGACGATTTCGCCTTCCTCAGTGCAGCACTGCTACTGCGACTCTTTTTTTTTGGTCTTGATGATAACACTCGTCCGTTCGCCCGTCCATCCCACTCATATAAACTGGACCTCTCAAGCTGATGCGAGGTTTGTATAGGTCTTCGTTATCAGCTTGAGAGGTCCAGTTTATAAGATCATATAAATAAATATGTGGGTACATACATATATACCATGGATCGCATCATGTGAGGTATCTCGAGCCGGTTAGTCGCGAGGCTACGCGGCGCGTTCCCAGGTGGCGCATAGGAGGTTCATCGCGGACCAAAAGCGGCATTTGCTTCCCTGTGTACGTACACTTGCATCCGAGCCCTCAACAGAGGACTTGCTCATGCAAGCAAGAAGGGTGCTTACAACCCGAAACGGACTTTTACGATTAAAAAGACATGGATCAATATCAGCTCTGACAATCTTCGAAGTTTACGCGCCGACATCAACCTATGACGAAGAAGAAGACGAAGCGTTCTACATAGAATTGGAGAAGTTCTACAGAGAAGACCGTACACTCCTCAAGCCCTTCTTTGGAGATTTTAACGATAAACTTGGACCGAGAAGAATGTATGAGGAACGTCACATTGGAATCCACAGATTAGAATGGAATGAACAGAATGAGAGGCTATCCGAGTTTATCATGACGACCAAGACCATCCATGGTGACGTGCAATTCCAGAAGCTCTACCCTCAACGTTCGACGTGGGAGTCTCACAACGGAGAGTACCACAGCGAAAAAGACAACATCATAGTAAGTAGAAGGCTTTGCCTAACCGATGTCGCTGTTGTCCCAAAATTCTACAAAGGATCAGGCCACCGCCTCCTTCGTGCCAGATTCTATTTCTCGCGGAAGGGAGAAAAATCCAGTAACTTCAAAAACCGAAGTCTCAGAACCACCGTAAACTGGAAGTTACTCAATTCATTAGTCGACTGCTAGGAAGATGCCGTTGCCGATAACATCGACAGAGACCGCGATCGGTTCGTTCAACATCTTCACGTCAGTGCTACGAAAGTTGACAGTTCGAAAGCCACCAAAAAACGTCTGTCTTCAGAAACACTCGAGCTGATACGCCAGCGAGGAATCGCACGGGCTGCATGCAACCGCAAACTAACGTCTGAACTTGCAAAACAATGCAGACAGGCGATAAAAGAAGATCTTAAAGAGAGAAGAACAGCAGTAATGGTCGAAGCTGCAGAGGCTGAGAAAAGCATTTGCAAAGCTCACCGAAGCTTCGCCAATTACAGGACCAAGATGATTGCAGGTCGACGCCCAGACGGAACAGTTACAGCGTCCAGAAATGCAATAGAGAAAACCATTCATGAATACTACTTAGATCTCTTCGATAGCCACGTCCACCTTCCGTCATATGAAATAAAGGAGGATGAATATGTTGTACCACCGGTTCTCCCTTCCAAAATCCGACATGCCATTTCGTCGGCGAAAAATCGATCAGCACCAGTTCTCGACAGGATAAGATCTGAACACTTGAAGAACCTTGCCCCAGTCCTCGTAAACACGCAGGCTGCGCTCTTCACACGTTACCTGTCTGAATGCAAGGTCCCTACTTAGTGGAAGACCAGCAAGACCGTTCTATTGTTCAAGAAGGGCCATATCATGAGAACATTGGAGTGGGGCCGCGTGGGAGTGAAATTCGATAGTCGGCAATTACGCCATCTTTGCTTTGTTGATGACATCGTCCTTATAACAAAAAACATTAACCAGGTGGAAAGTGTGCTTGCCAACTTTGATAAAGCCGGTGGAAAGATTGGTCTTCGACTAAATCTCACAAAAACGATGTTCATGAAGAACGGATTGGTTTCATAAGCCCCATTCACGCTCAACGGAACCAATCTCCGCTTTCTCCAGTTATATCTATTTATGTCGGGAAATCAATGTGATGAACGACCTAGCTCCAGAGCTGAGCAGAAGGAAATGAGCGGCTTGGGTAGCTTTCAACAGTATCGAGGATGTAGTGAAGAGAACAAAGAACCCCTGACTCCATGGCCACGTTTTCGACTCAACGCCACTTCCTGCTCTAACGTATGCGTCAGAAACTTGGTCGCTGCGTAACCAGGATGAGAGATCACTCAGCGTTGTCGAACGCACAGTCGAAAGGACGATGCTAGGCGTACCCCGTTTCACACAAGTGAGGAATAGGATCCGTAGCTCCGACCTGCGTCAACGATCAAAAGCAAAGATGCCACTCTGTACGCCATACAGACGAAGATAAGGTGGGCTGGACATGTGATGATGCGTATGAATGACAACCGATGGACAAGAGCCGTTAGTGACTGGATTCCTCGGGATGTCAAACGTACTGCAGGAAGACCACCGACCCGATGGTCAGAATTCTTCACAAAGAGCCTTGAAGAAAGATATGATGTTCGACGATTCTCTAGAGCGAGCAGAACCCACTGGGCTACTTTTGCACACGACAGGGAAAATGGAAGATTTACTGGCTCCCGCTCAAATCATTCGACGATCAACGGGACCACAGGTGATAGAGGTGATATATCTATATATATACATAAATATATATACACACATGTATTTGTCTTTGCATAGATATATGTACACATATACACATGTGTTATGCACGCATATACTTTATATGTATATATATATATATATATACATATACATCTATATATGGTTATCCACTATCCTTTATATAGTGCGGCAAGTACTGTGTTTAAAGTCGCCGTGCCGCCCAATGCACGCTCACAATTCCAAGCCAGTGCATGGCTAAGCTTCCCATCTTTCCGGGAACGATAAATTGATACTACACCTGTTCGACACGATTCTCTCTCCAGTCCACAATTTTTCACTGCTCCATATAGAAAAACCTAGAAATGATTTGGCAGAGCCATCTCAGAATACCAAAGTTAATGAGCTCAAACAGCAACTAACATTCACGAAGAAAACAACGTCCTTAATGGTAGCCCAATGCACATACAAAGGCACAGATTTTATCGATTTGAGAGAACCAGTCAATTCAAGTATGTGCTGGAATCCGCACAATATGCAGTGCAGGGTCATAAATGATAAAAGAATAAAGCCTTCGGAGTTAACAAATCTCTGACGGTGTACCACGCATTTGACTTCATCAAGCATCGTTAGAGAGTAATTGGATATATATCTGGTCTATGCATTAACTCGTGAAAGCTCACTGATGTATTCAGTCTGTGCTGCTGCCCTTGTTAACATGTCTGGTACCAATCTGCCGACCCCGGAGGGATGGAAGGCTTGGTGAACCTGGGAATCGGAATCGATTCCTTGCATACTGCAGTGCGCCTCTAACCACTGCGCAACACCCGTCCATGCCGGGTCATATGAAATAAAACGCTTATATATATATGCAGAAATAGAACTGATTGATAGAACTAGCTGAGAGAGAGGCGAAATGAAGGACCCGCATGGTGTGGTGGTGAACGCGTTACTTCCCGGAAAGAGTAAGAACGTGTTCGCCCTCACCATAGACACTTGTGATCCGAAGTTTTGCAAACGTCTCAAAGCATCGTTGTGGTTGTGTGCACAAATATGAGCTTCAGACACAAACCTTGAAGCAGACGGCATTCTGAACCACAGGAGAACAGCATACAGTAGGAAACTGTGATGAAATTGTTGATTTTGACGACTAAAAATAAAACAAGGCTGGGTAAAACACTAGGAAAATTTGTATTTATATATATATTACTTATAAGAACATATACATACTGTATACTATGTGATTTATATATAAACACACACATACGTATATACATACGTACATTTAAACAACAAATTTGCCCCAATGTATACGGGTTACTCCTGAAATTTCGCAGATATTCCACCGTTTAAATACTCCGACTTGAAAACCAACCTTCCCACTACAAGCAACCTTTAACAGATCCTCAGCAACTATGTCGCTGAACGGATCTTTATCTAACGACAGCTTCAAGTACTTTAACGCTTCATCAACATCATTAGATAACAACGCCAGCCGAGCACGTAGCCAGTAGGTTGCCGGCTAAACAATGTAGTAATATCTTCACAGTTTGAACGTGTGATATGGAAAAAACCGTAAAAAGGTACACTTAAAATTCCCTTTTCAAAATCGAACTTCTCGAAGTTACGGAAAAGAATTTCAAAAAGATTCTGAACCACAGTAAATTTGAAAACGTTACCTCATCTGGGTCGACCGCGCTGGCCATCAATAAAAGTTTAGCCGACTCTTCCTTTTGACCGGTCACTTTGAGGATCAGTTGCGCCAGTTGTACAAATGCGATGTCAGCGTAATCTGGCTAAAATTATGAATATAGTAACGCCAAATATATTGCAGCGTTCCGAAAAATCTGTAGCAGGAAGATAAAAGTACCTGCAGAAAAACTGCTTCAATTAAACAAAACGATGCTTGCTTCGGATTACCTTTAACTCGCCAGTATAAAGCAGCCAAATTCAACGCCAACCATCTTGGACCGCTATTCTAAAATATCACATTTAGTAGAAAATATGGCTGAGAAGCGTTCCAAATTCTTACACTATCCATCATAGATCGAATTCTTTGGGCGACCTCAATGTCTTCCATAATTCGTCCGGCGAGCCGTACCAGCACTGATTTCAACCGCGACTCAGCATATTCACTTGCCGGCCCAGTATTGACAGCAGTAAGCAGCCCAGTAAACTAATATATATATATATATATATATATATATACATGTATATAATGAACCCACAACCTGTTTTCTATGGCATTAAAAGAGACACCGCTCAAGAGTGAGAAACATGAACTCACGAGACTAAGTTCGTCCCCGAACACATTCACCTCCTTACAGTATGGTTCCTTCCACGGTAAAGGATGATCTTCATGTGACTCTAAACCGATTCCTCGAGTCAAATATTCAGTTATTCTGAAACACTATAACCTAACATGATGTTAGGCTCCTTCTAATATATCACTTACAAGAATCCTTTGTTCTCAGGACTGATGAACACCTGAGGAAACCAGCGCTGTTTGAATATATCCGTCCGCGATATGATCGTTTGGCAATCGACGCTGCTTGGCCAATCAGTACGACGCCAAAATCGATCCCGCACAGTAGAGGATACCTTACTTAATTTGATGTCACCTTGACAGAACTTCTTTTATTATAACAAACAGCAGTGAGCAGGATGAAATTGTAAATTAACTGACAGTTATAACGTTTTAATAGATGAACATACTAAATAGCGTTATAAAGTGATTTATATATCAAACAGATGTAATCCTGCGAGAAAATGCTTTTTATTGTTCCAGGAGTAATGACTAAAGCTTCCAAGACTTCAAACGATACCTAGTAATATTCGTTTCATTACTACAAATTACCTACACTCCACTGTTTGTCAACAGCCCATTTTTGGCGTACATTTGAAGGAAATCATAAACTTAAAAAAGGAAATTGCGAATTACCTATCGAGTGGGTACTTCTTTTGCATTTGTGGAATCAGTGGTGCTTTTGAGCTCGACGGCTGTAGCTTTCTCTTGAAAACTTTTTCTGCCGTGAACACTTCGGCAACATGCCATATCGTGTCGTTCAACTATAAACAGTATTTGTTCAAGAGTAATCGCAATTCGATCTGGCCTAGGTTCCATGTTTTGCTAGCATTTCAATATCATAATGATTATTTATTCATTTTATTTCCAACTCCGCCTCTTCTTGGATCAAGCGATAGCCGTTCTTGTCACCAACCGATGGGACTTCCATAATCAAATTGTGGCATTCAGAACGAAAGAATATTATTAGGAATAACTGAATTGAGCCGGTAAGCATTTCAGACTTTTACTTCTAGGATAGGGACACTATTTTTAAAATAACAAAAAACCGTTCGTATACCGTCAGGAGGATATACCGTCAACAAATGTAAATTTAGCAAACCTACCAAAGGTCTATTTTTCGCCGTTGCTCTTCTCAGTGGCATCATTGTCTCTTCGTAGGCTACCGGATCTGTTAATTCGCAATGGTAGGTAAGTATCACACTTCCGGGATTATTAGAGCGTGGAAATCTCTTCACATTTGTCGTTCGACATATTCTATCTAAACTCCCATAATAAGTGGAACGCAATAGCAAAATAGCAAATAGCAAATAGCAAATCAATAGCAAAAACAGGGAATTTTGTTTTCCAATCACTTTAAATACCTTCGGTTAACGACACGCAACGCCTGAAGTTATCTTTCTAAAGTAGGAAACTGTAAGAATTACTTAATATTTCTAAAATTCAACTCACAAGGATTGTAACCGTACTTCGTTTCTTCATAGGCTAAATTAAGAGAATACCGAACATCTTCGTCAATCATCCGCTCTCGTATCTCATCGGCTACTTTAATCTGTAAACTACTACAAAATAATGGACCTACTATAATACTCTAGCAGCCACTTATTCTACGAAATATTGAATAAGAACATTTTATCCTACGCTATCGCAACGGAGCCATAGACAGACTGATTCCTCATCTGACTGAGAATTAACCCGTGCTTTTAAGTGATATCAGAAAACTACAAACCACAGAAAGTGTTGCGAACACATAGCTTTTGGTCAAATTACATGTGACAATAAGATAAATGGAGAACATTGGGCGAGTTGTAATAGCGAGAACAAAGAAGCCCATACCTGGTCGCCATAAATATCATTGAAGCGCAGCTTTTCAGAAACCAAATGATCCAAATTTTCCTGGAATGACTCGCATATTCCCGTAAACAAGAGACTCCTTCAAATGTCAAACACATTACCTTCTGCTTCGCGAGTTCTATGAACAGATCAATCTGACAGCTCATCGCACCCAACTTTCGCAACAGCATTTCGTGGAGTTCCAACAGCTCAGATACATAGTTAGGATCATTTGGTGTAACTAGCTGCAACAGACGCTTCACAATGAACAAGAACAACGAATTGAGTAGGGACTTGTTAACAACTCTTGATATAGTTGCCCACCAGATTTTTAATGAATGGTTCTGAGAATTTAGTAGCAAAACGAGTAAAATCCTCTACTTTCTCCACTAGCTCTCCATTCGTTCGTGAAGCACTTAACTTCAGATATGTTGCATCCGCCAGTGCAGCCTGTGCCTTTAGGAACACGCATGGTGGATGAGCACTTGGATCGTCAAGCGTAAATGAATGCTGAAATTTGAAACAATCATGTAGGCTAAACATGTTGTTCCTCCAAGCTATAAACCGAAAATATCAAACGAATATGAAGTCCAATATTACTTCAACTGTAATTTCAACTTACATCGGCCTAACACTATTCTCGCTTTATTATGAAACAACACATATTTAACTTCGTCTTGTACTTATTTGCTTTCTACTTCCCTTTCCTGCGCCATTGATTGTTACTTTATTCATCTATTCCATATGCTTCATAAAATGGTGAAATGTTATAAGTTTTAAGAAATCCCTAGTAATATCGATGCGAGAGGTCTTATTATTATCCTTTTCTTCTTTCTTCTAAGGTAATAACAACTTAGCACTCAGAACAACGACCACCTCCAAAATAGCAATCGATGACTCTGGTTGGTCAGCTTTAGTGAACAATGTGGCTGCAGCAATACTGATCGCGTCAAGGCTGATGTGTGCACTCTCATCACCATTTACTGCTGCTTCTTCTCTTAAATGGCAACAGAATAGAATAAGAATGATGAAAGAACAGATGTAGTGTACAACAACCACTGAATAGCCAAGGGCCAGAATATCTCAAAATGTGTGAGAAAGAGAGACTCACAAGAAACTCTTACTACATCTGCTAAAAAATTCAGTGTTAAAATACTTCAGTGAAGCTATGGGGACCACTAAACCAGTACGTATTGTAGGCATATATGGCTCCAATCCGAGTGCTATTTCATGAGTCACCATTATGTGGAAGGGTTGCCGACAAAGTCACCAATTATTATTCAGGTTCAGAAAATTCTTTGATACTAGGCTGATATATATTTAAATTGTTGAGCTCCTACGAGGTGATAAAGCACTTTTATTCGGATAACGTTTCGACCTCTTCGTCTTCATCGGAGCCGTGACCATCGACTCGGATCACCAGCTCTGATGAACAGGAAAACGTCGAAACGTTAGCCGAATAAAACTACTTTACCAACCTTGTGTAAGCTCAACAATTTAAACACTTTGATTATTCTACTACCAAGGTTAAATGACGACCAGTTTCAAAGTTATTATTTTGCTATGCGCTATGTACTAGGCCGATAACTATTTAACCCACAATGTTTACCTTTTGTTTTCTGCCTTCTACAAATTTTATGGCAAGGTATTAACCGAAATACAACAAGATTGCTGAGATATTTGCAAAACTCCGGACCGCAGGTATCTGCGGTGGGGAACGAAAGGGCTATTGTCCTTCCCGAGGAGTAACGCGTTCACCACCACACCATGCGAGTCCTTCACTTCGCCTGTCTCTCAGCTAGTTCTAACGATCACTGCCGTTAGCAATCTCTCGTCAACGGGATTGATCCGGGGAGTCCACAACGGCTTTGAACCCAGTTAAGCTGGGGCCGCAGTTGAATTCACAACGTTTGCTCTTTGTTTTCCGCTTTCTATAAATTTTTATGACAGGATATTAAGCAAAATACAACCACAAGATTGCTGAGATATTTGCAAAACTCCGGACCACAGGTGAAACGAAGGACCCGCATGGTGTGGTGGTGAATACGTTACTCCCCGGAAAGGACAATAGCACGTTCGTTCCCCACCGCAGACACCTGCGGTCCGGAGTTTTGCAAATATCTCACAAATCTTGTGGTTGTATTTCGCTTAATACCTTGCCATAAAAATTATAGAAGGCAGAAAACAAAAAGCAAACATTGTGAATTCAACTACAGCCTCAGCTTAACTGGGTTCAATGCCGATGTGGGCTCCCGGATCAATCCCGTTGACGGGTGAGTGCTGACGGCACTGATCGATAGAATTAGCTGAGAGGCAGGCGAGACCAATTATTTAATCGTCAACAGAAATCCTATTCTCATGTGGAGTAATGAGACATAAATGACTCACAATACACATAATGAAAGTAACGACTATAGAAAGTCATCCTTTCAAACAAAAAGTGAGAGATCAGGAAAAATTCAATGCAGACGCTGTGCGAAATATAGGTCTACGTAGAAGTTATACTTGCTCAGAAGCAAAATAGTCAAAAAAAACTTACACGTAAAACATTGCTGTTTTATAACAACCAAGCGCTTCACCCAAATCACCGATTTGCCTCCAGTAAGCAGCAGCAGCGAGATGGAGATAAGGATGTGCTCCAATGTGCTAAATATAGACTCGAATTCTCATTTTTAATTCAAATTTAATTAGCTCACCTAATTTTCAAAATTTTCTCAATTTGAAAAATAATGGGATAACGCCGTACAAAGAACATAGTAGAATTATAGAAAAAACCTATATAAAACGCAAAGACGATAAAAATAGGCATATACAAGGAACACATATACTGACCTGAGAACGGTGTGACAACAATTTTGCAAGAATTGCTCCGTAACTGGGGGATTTTGTAGAAACCATCTTCTTCACATTCGGAAAGTAACCTCCAAGTATTTCTGCATAATCCGCATCAGGAATCCGAACTACTAATCTCTGATCGTTCGCTGTCTGAAATCTCTCACTGTATTTCCACTCAAATGTAAACAAACTGATGATGAGAATCTGAAACGATAGCGACTGAACTTTGCCCACGTCTACCAGAATGCCCGAATTTTAGATTCAACGATGAACCTTGGAAATTTCTAGAAATACTCAGAGTAGACTCTGGAGCACTAGCTAACCATGTGCCAGAAAAAATTTAGTACACCTTTAACATTACTTAATTATCACCTGTGAACGGAAAAGAAATTGGACTTTGTAAAAGAAAGACTGGGATTGTAACGACACCCTCGGAGAGGGTATATGCTAATATAACGAAATCAGCCAAATAACAGTATAGTCAAACCTTGGCATCTAGCAAGCACTCTTGTCACACTCAATGGGAAAGCGCAGAACAATAAAAGAATAAAGGACAAAGCTCTAGGTACGGGATCGGTCCCCTGTGCATTGCAGGACGCCTCTAACCACCGTGCTATACGGGCCCTTGAGAAGACGCCGAAAAACAAATAACGGTAGAGAAGCGAAAAATAAACTTCGAAATACTTTCGATAGTCCACGCAGTTGTCCCTCCTGATGCCATTGTCGGCAGTGTGGCAGCAGCTTCTCGTCTTCCGGTTCCTTATTCACATATTCTTTGATAGAATCGATATATCTGAAATCAATTCATAACTCCTACGATGAGCATTAACGTGTAGAAATAGAACAAAATTTCAAACTATCTTTCGAAAAACTAACTTTTCATAATGTTTATGGAAATCCGGACAAATCTCGGCTGAATATGAGGTCTTGAAATTTTCTCGATCAAGACTGACCAAACCACCCATTGTGCAATGCTCCCTTTCTCTGCGAAGCCGTTGCTCGAGTTCTGGATCATCCCGTGCCTCTCGTTCACTTATTGATTTCTGAAGAGCCAAAAAAATTCTTCCTAGGTCTGTGTTCATTCACTTCATCAACCAAACTAGGCTGAGCATTACAAGCAATGAAAGTAGGTACTTCTTCTACAACTATAAGTGTTTAACACTCACAAGTGCATTCGTAAGTTCGACATATGTTTTACCAAACTTCTTGACACTTTCTACTTGCCGAAGGAAATCCACCAGTGAACCTGGATAAGCGAGCACGTATGGAGACTCAGGCTGAAAGCAAACTGTGAAAATCTAAGGATATCTGCAATATAGTCCGGTTGAGCCCTACAAACTGCCTCTAGCTCGTGAGGATAAAGTGAGCAGAATACTTACGACTGCCTCGATCACTTTCCCATCATCACTGATTTTCCAATAGTATTCGCCGGAAGCATTATTAACAACGAGAAATATTGTCAAAATCGCTTCGAATACTACCAATGTCCTCTGCATCTGGAAAAAAAATGTACAAATTCTCTGTTCAAGTATCAATGAAAGACATTCAGTGACGAGTTCTTATGCAAAATGCCTAAGCCATTACAAGAAAAAAACAGAAACTCTGTAAAACTACAATTTCAACTGTTTGGGGGCCAGGACGTATCAAAATAAGGCTTATGATGTGATTTTATCGGTCTAAACTCATCGAAATCGTTCACATTTCCGGCAAAATAGCGCCCGTACCACAATCAAATAACAGAATTCTGACTTCTTCATCGAATGCTATCCTGAAACTATACCGTTCAGGTAAACATCTCCATCCTTAAGTAAGTGGGAGCCAAATCTTATGGCAATTCCCAACACGACGTACTAATGCCACGACCATTCAGTGTTTATCCGTTACCATTTTGATTTCTTCAGACTTTATTTATAACAACGCTTCCTTCCAACGGTTTACTACCTCATCGTAGCTGCGAAGTGTTCCTGGGTGTCGGACTGCGGTGTACAGCGAGGGCTTCATCCCATGGCAGGGATTCCCAAGCTCAGAACGAGCCCGGCGTTACCATTAGAAAGCCTAGCTAAGAGTAAACCAATACCAGGATCCACCACCGTCCTGGTATCAAAGTCATATGGCGGCAAATTTCCTTCTGATCCACACCGGCTGTGACCGCCTTTGGTGGTGAAGACCTGGGGCAGACCTTGGCCAGGCTGACCTCGGGATTCCAGGGAAGTGGCTTAATCAGCAAATTTCCGAACAACGGAGATTATGCTGTGGCCCGCACAACGAGTGAGGACGGGCCATTCAAGTATCAAGTATAACAACGTTTAGTGTCCGCTCCTAATCTCTACCCTGGCAGAATATTGCCCGTTCGAAGTCAGACTGTCCGCTAGAGGTCTTACGCAAGATGCTCAAATTCTCTTAGCCTTGGATTAAGAGTTTGACCTTCTGAGGATTCGTCTACTCGTCAATTATCGATTCAGATCTGAATGGTCTATAATACAGCCAAGATCCAACATCAGAAAATTCAGAATTCAGCAGCTCAACGTGATATGACCAACTTCAGGAAGAAGAATTCAGCGCCATAAACGATAACGCACCATATAGTGCAAACTGTGGAACTTCCCAGTTTAAGCGGAATGGAATTCCAATTCCCAGTATGATGAGGTGAAAGAACGATGACTGATGAACTGACTAAAGGAAGAGAAGAGGCCATTCTCTAGCGACATTCAGAAACGACTCGAAGCCTCAACAACCGCAGTACTGGGGAAATTCAAGGTCGAACACGTGTCGTCTTGAACTAAACACACTCGCACCAATCAATAATGCTAGTCGATAAATGGCATAGAAATTGCCCTAATCAGAGTTAAAATCCATCAGAGCTCTATAACCAGTAATGAAGTAACAATCATTTCCAGAAACCAGAACTGTTTTCCTCTTACAAGGAATTAAAATGTAATGAACTGCTAATGAAAGACACAAGTTGATTTGTACTGTTTAACATAGTTACGCACTTATTACGAAGTTAATACTAGTTGTCTATATGAAGAGCTTGTCACACTTTTCTTAAACAGATTAAGGATTGCGCAAAAAAATGCTACGATACTACAAGCTACAATAATTTTAACCGTTGAATAGCCAAATTTTCCACAGTTTTCCGGAGGACCAGTGTTAAGGTCCCGACTCTTATCAAGCTGTGTTAGTTGTCTCAGGGCTAGGAAGGAATTGACCTCATGTAATTCGAGCTCGAGAACTGGATAATTAATGAATATTTCGTACAATAATATGTCACATCCTCTGCATCAGAGGTGCAGTGGGTAACACGTGAGCCATCTGGAACGCTAGTCGTGTGGAATCGAACTTTTGCAAATATTTTAGCTTCATAGTGGTTCTATTTCACATTATACCCTAACGTGAAAAATAATAATAGGCAGCAAGTAAGAAGTTAACATTTTAAAGTATTTGCCTTCAGATGCCTCCCAACTATTTACCGCACCATCGTGGCTGGGACGTGTTTCTAGGTGTCGGGCTGCGATGTACAGCGGGGGATTCGTCCCCCTGGTAAGGTCTCCTAAGCTGAGAAGGAGTCCAGCGTTTCCATCAGGAAGCCTAACTAAGACTAAACCAATACCAGGATCCATCACCGTCTTGGCATCAAAGTCGCATGGTGGCAAATCTCCCTCTGATCCACAAGGACTGCGACTGTCTGTAGTGGTGAAGACCTGGGGTAGGCTTTGGCCAGACCGACGTCCGGATTCCGGGAAACCACAATGGCTTAACCAAAAAATCTCCGAGAAATGGAGATTATGCTGGAGCCCGCACAATCAGTGAGGTCAGGCCGTTTAAGTATCAAGTAAGTAAGTATCTTTAGGTGCAGTATAAATAACAGATCAATTTTTTTCGACCTTTATCGGTAGCTGAAACTAAGCCCAGAGTACCTCTCTGGGTTATTAAGCTACTAACAAGAGGTTGATAAAAAGGATTATTCAACTGGCGTTTCGACGTATTCGTCTTCGTCAGAGTCGATGATCCGAGTCCTGGAGAAAAAAATGTACTAGATTCCCAGAGTGTGTCATGGGACTTGACATCTTAAGAAATCATTAGTCTTAAAATGTTTAGCTAAACGTTAGAAGCGGATGGCGTTTTCACCTGTGTTTCTTTCAGCCACTTTTCCGAATCCTTTCTGGCTTTCATTATCACATTCTTCGTCCAACACCTTTGTGAAGATACGGGACCATCGAGTCGATGGTCGTCTTGCTTGACATGCCCGTGGAACATAGCTAACGAACTTTGCTTACGATTCGTCGTTAGGATACATTCTTCTTCGCCATCCCCGATTTCGGACGTCATCACTTATACGGCAGCTTCTCTGATCGCAGTTCACTCTGGGACTTCAGATTCCTCATGCTTGCTTGATCCGAGATATGCCCAGCATCGACCGCCTAGGTGCAGCACATACAATCAAAACAAACAACAAATGAAGCTAAGATTCCACTCGATTGATAATAGTCAAAAGCGACAGCTCAACGGATTTTTTTGCAATTCAATTAGTAAATAGACATCCTTCGACAATAGGAACTTCAAATTACAGAGATGCTCAGAAACATGCAAAACTTGGAATCTCTGTTGGGTTTCGAAGCCGTCAACGGGAATCTGAGTATTCCCATGGTTGTATTTCACGTCGTATCCTGCCGTGACGAAAGAATAGGGAGAAAATAGAAGTTAAAACATTCTAACCTCAAAATGGTTTAAACAAGAACAAGCTAACAATCAAGCCTTTCGTATCACATGGTATGGTACCACTCTTGACCTCTCCGACCTGTCTGTCTGAATGAAGTGAGTAGCCTTGAAGTAGTTCAATGTAGGGAAAGCAAGATGCTGGACCTGAGGTAGCGATGTTCCTTGCCTATGTAGTACTTTGAGACGACATGGACGTTAATTGAATAAAGTTATTTAGTGACGGTAAATATGATTCTCCTTATCAGAAAACTCCTAAGCTCTACATCGGCAAAGGGAGAGGTTTCCGGAATTTTGAATTACCTACCATGAATGGTTTCCATCATCATGATGAGCTCAAGGAGCTCCTTACTTTTATTATCCTTTCTCCTATTCGTATATCCTGATATGAATTGCTTCAGATATTCTTCTGGTGACCACCAGTTTCGAAATTGAATCCACCGATGAAAACTACGTGGAAGGTACCAAGGTTATGCCTCTACAAGTTCACCGTAGAAAATGTCTCGATTTCAGAATCAACCACTGTTTCTTTAATCACCCGGAACCAATTTGTTAGGTCTATAGACAAAAAATATACAAACCTCATTTCACTGAACCATAACTGAAATCATCCGATGGGAATGATACGTCTATTACTGCTATTGTTCATTATAATTAATATTTTAAAAAGACATTGTTGGGCTACAAAACTTAGCGTGTTTAGTTTTGCATGCAAGACCTCTTCAACGTAACCGTTCCACCGCAGGTTACCGTTACAGTTACTATTATAAATACTTATAGGTCGTCAACCATATACGACTCTGATCAGCGGCTCTTCCTCAGTGGAAGGCACCTAGAAACGGTGCGTTTTTGCGAGAGGTTGTTGACCATGTGATTGCCATTTAGATTCTCATCCTTCTATATGTGTTATTGAAGCGTTTGACATAGAAGACTGCATATCACTATACCCTTCCAAGCTCTGAAGAAGGCGATACTGCCGAAACGTCAGCTACGATTGTGTTGCATGTGTGTTACTTACTTGGATACTTGGACAGTCCGTCTTCACGAGCTGTGGGGACCCCAGCACATATGCCATTCGTTCCTTTCTCTCGCAGTCGTAGTGCATGGTGGTGGTCTTGTTCGAGCATGGCAGCGCTTGCGAGTCTCATACCGTGATTTGTAAAACAACTACAGCTGCGGGTACAGCTGATTAACTTTGTTTACGAACACGGCCGCCCAACCTGTAGGTGGTCGTCCTAAGAGACGTTTGCATTCTCTTGCAGTCCACCTTACTGTTCTTTTCGTCCATCTGTCGTCGGCACTTCTCATTGCGTGACCAGGCCATCTATGTTCCGCTGTTGATGCATACTCTCCTGGATCTCGAAGATGTGACAGATTTCGAAGGGCAGAACTTCGCATTCCGGCTAGATATTGAGAGTGCCCGTTATATTTCAAAAGACATCGCTCAAGCGTTCTGTGAGCAGTGCGAAGCATTCTTGACGTAGTTGAAGTATCAACCCACATCTCTGCAGCGCTGGGAGGACCGTAGAATCAAAGAGATGAGAGCGGATTTTCGGCTCCTTCAGTTGGTTAGTGGCTGCTTTGAGAGGCCCGAATGTGGCCCAAGCTGCTCTCCTTCTTCTATCTAGTTCCTCGTTTATGTTGTTTTCCATGTTCATTGATCACCCAAGGTAAACGTACGAGGTGGTCTCTGCAATGAGAGAGCCATCTAATTCCATTTTTTCGCCTTCGCACCATGGGTTTTTCATGAGCTGGGTCTTCTTTCTATTTATACGAAGTT